TCCCAAACCCTCCCCCTCTCTCCCACACTCCCTTCCTTCTTACCCCCTCCCTCCCCCTTCCTTCCCGACCCCACCCCGCGCCGGCCCTCCGCTCTTTCCCTCCGCTCTGCAGGTGCAGAGAAGAGTGGGCGGAACGCTGTGGGCGCTAGCTGGTGGGAGACATGGCAGGAGGTGCTAAGGACAGACGAGTGGAGGTGAGGGAGAAGGGGGTTGCAGTGGGGATTGTGAGAGGGAAATATGTGGGAGTGTGTGAAAGGGTCTGGGTGGGCGAGGTGACTTTTGAGTATACTCAAAAGTCAGGCGAGGGGTTGGGGATTGTGAGAGGGAAATACGTGGGAGTGTGTGAAAGGGTCTGTGTGGGCGCTAGCTGGTGGGAGACGTGGCAGGAGGTGCTAAGGACGGACGAGTGGAGGTGAGGGAGAAGGGCGAGGGAGAGAGTGATGGAGTGTGGGAATGTGTGAGGGAGTGTGTGTGTGTGTGTGTGAGAGAGAGAGAATGTGGGAATGCGTGTGGGTGTGTGTGTGTGTGTGTGTGAGAGAGAGAAAGAGAGAGAGAGAGAGAGAGAGAGAGAGAGAGAGAGAGAGAGAGAGAGAGAGAGAGAGAGAGAGAGAGTGGGAATGCGTGAGGGATTGTGTGTGTGTGTGAGAGAGAGAATGTGAGAATGCGTGTGGGAGTGTGTGTGTGTGAGAGAGAGTGTGGGAATGCGTGAGGGAGTGCGTGTGCGAGAGAATGTGGGAATGCGTGTGGGAGTTTCCAGGGCGCTAGCTGGTGGGAGACATGGCAGGAGGAGCTACGGACGGACGAGTGGAGATGAGGGAGAATGGGGAGGGGGATGAGATGGGAGAATGAGGGAGTGCAAATTGGAGTGTGTATGAGATGAGAGAATGAGGGAATCTGTGAGGCGCTCCTTCCTTCCTCCCCCCCTGCACCCCCTCCCCATTCCCCCCTCTTATCCCCACCCTCCCCGCACCGTGGCATCGGCCGCATCGAGCTCAGCGTTCATAAGCAGGCCAAGTGCAGAGATCGTGTCTTTTTCCTCCCTAACCCTCCTCCCTCTTTCCCGTCACCCCTTCCCCCTCCCCCCCCCCCCCTCACTCACACACCATTGGCATCGTGCGCATGGAGCGCAGTGCGCACAAGCAGGCCAAGTCCCAGGGTGGTCTCTCTCTCAAGCCCATATCTCCCACCCTTACCACCTGCATCAGTGCCCCCGCTCTTCCTCGAATGCCCCCCCCACCAGTGGCATCGCCCGCATCGGGCGACGGGCGCAGAACGCACAAGCAGGTCAAGTCTTGTGTGCGTGTGGCCAAGTCCTGCTCACACCCCCTCCCGGCCCCCTCTCACTAGTTTTGAGGCGCCTCAAAAACCCTCTCACTAGTGGCTTCGAGCGCACATCGAGCGCACATCGAGCGCACATCGAGCGCACATCGAGCGCACATCGAGCGCACATCGAGCGCACATCGAGCGCACATCGAGCGCAGTGCGCACAAGCAGGCCAAGTCCTGTGAATGCGCTTCCCCCATAACGCCCTCCTGCTTACACCCCTCCTCCCCCCCTCCTTCCCCCTCCTCCTGTCTCCAGTGGCATCGCGCGCATCGAGCGCAGTGCGCACAAGCAGGCCAAGTCAAGAACGGACGCCTGGACTGAGAAATGGTGCGTTGGGGGAGAGGGGGGGGGGGGGGGGGGATGTTGAGGAGGAGTGGGGAGTTGTAGAAGCTGGGGGAGGGGAGTTGAAGTGAGTTGAGGGGAGTTGAGGAGGAATGTTGCACTCTGACAATCTGTTCTCCTTCCCTCTCCTCTCCCTCTCCTCCCCCTCTCCTCCTCCTCTCCTCCCCCTCTCCCTCCTACCAGGTGGGAGAAGTACAATTAGAGGGGGTGGACGGAGAAGGGCGCGTACAAGTTGCATCCTAGGGCTCGTTTCAACTCCCCTGCACCGTATCCCTCTTATCATATTCTCCCTCGTGCTGCCCAAACTCTCCCTTCTTGTACAACTTGTCTTGTACGCTCCCTTCTCTGCACCGTATTCATTTTTCATATTCTATTCTCCCTATCTCGCAGGTGGGAGAAGTACAACGAGAGGGGATGGACAGAGAAGGGAGCGTACAAGTTTGGGCGGCACGAGGGGCAGTCGTGGTGGGAGAAGTGGGGCGAGCAGTACGACGGGCGGGGGGCGGTGCTCAAGTGGTGAGTTACACTGTAACTAATAGTGAAATACGTGTTAATGCATATGCATATGCATACACACACACACACACACACACACACACACACACACACACACACACACACACACACACACACACACACACACATATATATATATATATAGACCAATGAAGCTTTTCGCACAACAGTTGTGGTGGGAGAAGTGAAGCGAACCAAACGAGGCGCCGATGTGTGGGGATTTAGTTGTAGTGGTGATGAATTTGGTTGAATTTGAGATATACACATGTAGTTGCATAGTAAGTAGTGTATAAATATATACACATTCATATTATGCATGTTTGTGGCATGGCAGGACGGACAAGTGGGCCGAGCAGGATGACGACGGCAGCAAGTGGGGCGACAAGTGGGAGGAGCGGTTTACCAACGGCGTGGGCAGGCGGCAAGGGGAGACATGGCACCTCTCGCCCTCTTCCTCCCGTGAGTCGCCTCTCTCCCTCTGCTGCTCGTGGTTAGTCGCCTCTTGCTCCCTCTGCTGCTGGTTAGTCGCCTTTCTCTTTGCTGTGTTGAAGAAGCAAGTGGGGCGACAAGTGGGAGGAGCGGTTCACCAACGGGGTGGGACGGAGACAAGGGGAGAGGTGGCACCTCTCCCCTACTTCCTCCCGTGAGCCCCCTCTCATCCTCTACTACTTTCAGGCCACCTCTCGCCCTCTGTACCAGTTGCAAACCACTACCTGCCCTCATGCTCCCTACCTGCTCTCATGCCCCAACCTGCCCTCATGCCCCCTACCTGCCCTGCAGGGTGGTCAAGAACGTGGGGAGAGGAGCACTATGGGAACGGGTAAGAGTGTGCTTGAAGTCAGTCATCTTTTGGTAATGGGCTTTAATTTGCATCCTCTTTCTTCTGTGAGATCCGTGAGCTTTGAGCTTCAAGGGATTTCAAGCTTCAATATGCATGGGGCTTGGTATGTAGCGCTTACAAAAGAATTCTACGATTATCGTCTTCCGTTTTCCTCCTACCCCTTTCCATCATCCTCTCGTTTCGCTTTTATGCAGCAAGATGCACAACACAAGTGCGGCAAGAGCACGAGTTGCGAGGGGTGGGGCCTCCCCTTTCCCACCCTCACCTCCCCCTCCTCTCCCTTTCCCCATCTTCTCCCCTCACCAACCTCCCATGGCAGCAAGGTGCACAAGTACGGCAAGAGCACGAGTGGCGAGGTGTGGGACGTGGTTGTGGATGAGCCGACCTACTACGAGTGAGTGGACCTCGTTGGCACTTAGGGGAGTAAACGCCCATGTGTGTGTGGGCGCACCCATGTGTGTTTGCTGCAGTGAATTCCAGTCTCTGTCTCTTTGGTGCAAGGAGCAGCACGAGTGGCGAGGTGTGGGACGTGGTGGTGGATGAGCCCACCTACTACGAGTGAGTGGGTTCCGTTGAGAGTCTTAATTCACAGAGGCGCTGCCGATGAGCAAACTTACCACAATTGAGTGCAGCGAGTTAGTTTTGAGACGTCTCAAAGCCGACTTGCTGAGAGTGAGTGCAGCAAAGTGGCACACCAGGAATGGGGGGATCGGACTGCACTCACAGTCGTTGTCGCGTTATGTCAGGCTTCTGTCTGTCTGTCAATGTCTGTCAACTTCTGTCAATGTCTATCAATGTCCGTCAATAAACGTCTGTCAATGCCTGTCTTTGTCTTCCAATGTCCTCCAATGTCTGCCAACGTCTGCGAGTATTTATCAATGTCTGTCAATGTTTGTCAATGTTTGTCGATGCCAACATCTGTCAATGTCTGTCAACGTCTGTCAATGTTTGTCAATGTCTGTCAATTTTTGTCAATGTCTGTCAATGTTTGTCAATGCCTACATCTGTCAATATCCGTCAACGTCTGTCTATATCCATCAACGTCTGTCTATATCCTTCAATGTCTGCCAACTGTCTGCCTGTCTGCCTGTCTGCCTGTCTGCCTGTCTGTCTGTCTGCCTGTCTGCCTGTCTGCCTGTCTGCCTGTGCGCATTGCCTCAGGGCCACTCCCCACTACGGGTGGGCAGAAGCAACGGCCAACTCGCTGCAGCTGCTGGCGATCGAACAGATGGAAAGAGGAGAGACGTGAGGGAGAGGGCAGAGGTGTGAGGGTGAGGGAAGGGAACTGAGGGAGAAAGGCGTCAGGGCCACTCTCCACAATGGCTGGGCAGAGGCGACTGCTAACTCTCCTGCAGCTGCTGGCAATCGAACTGGTGGAGAGGGGAGGAACGTGAGAGAGAGAGGAGGGACGTGAGGGAGAGGGGAGAGGTGGGATGGAGAGAGAAGAGGCATGAGAGAGGGGAGGGACGTGAGGGAGAGAGGGCGATACATGAGGGGAGAGGAGGGCCTTCAGGGAGAGAAGGGAACCGAGGGATGGAGGGGAACGGTCGAGGGAGGCGGGAGAGGGAGAGGAGGGTCACGAGGGAGAGATGAGGAAAATGAGAGGATGCACAGAAATCTGAGAGAGAAGTGGGCATATGGAGCAGGGGAGAGGAGGAGGTGAAAGGAGAGGAAGGAACGGCATGGGAAGGGCCGAGTGAAGGGACAGCAGCTACCCTACGTAGCCAGGAGGTGGGTAGGAAATGAAGTGTAGATGAATTGACGTCTACTTCCATCCATAGCGCAACCAGTAGTCTATCAATAATCTGGTGTATCTCACTCTGCTGTGATACTTCATTGGGATTGGAAGACCTCCATTTGGTGCACAAAACTTTCACGTTACTGTTTATATCTTTTAGGGAAAATTCGATCAGATCAGCCTTGTGCATTAGATGATTGCTTCAATTCCTCGTCACACATGATTGCTTGAAGGCTCCACGTTCGAGCAAATTGACTTGTTTTTAAGACTTTCTAGAAACTTCCTAGACAGAATTCCTCCGTCCTTAACACGGCAGGGGCAGCGGAAGAGTTTATGCTAACGTATTCAAGATGTGCCAGTGACAATTGTTATCACTTGCAATCAAATTACACCCCATCAGTTGAACTCTATTGCACCCCTCAGCCAGCTACAGAAAGCTAACTACCCTCGAAGAGGGTTCGAGTACAACAGAAATCGCTATTTGGGCGGCTGAACACCTAAGCCATGCAGTGATAGGCATGGTTGGTTGCCTGAATTGCCACCCAGTATTATCAGACCAGCAGTTCACCCCTGAAATTAACGGAATGTTTACCAAGGGTTAGCGAAGGGTTTGCTCCTACATGGAATGTTTTACGGAGTTCGGATGATCCCCAAGTGAAGGGGAAAAAGCTCACGGGAATTTGTGAGGTATCGATGCGAGAAACGAAGCGACAGGAGTACAGGAAACAAAATGGGAAACGCTGCTGACATGGCTGGCCCTCAGCGTTGGTGGATATTTACCACACTGGACAGAGGACAGAAGCCCAGAGTCTTTCAGAGTGTGTAACAATGAAATCGTCACCGGGCCAGCCATGGAGAAAGCAGATGAGAAAAGAAACAATAAGCCACGGTGTGACAGGAAAGATGCGGAAACGAGCTTCGCTTCGAAAGCTTGAAATCACATTACGAGTTTGGTATCAAAAGAGCCAGCAAGAGGCATCCACGTGGCAAAGCCTCGCAAACAAGTCAGACAGGAGCAGCTGGATCAAGCAGAAGCATCATGCTAGGAACCATGGCATCAAGTCTAACCCCAATCTCGCGGTCGGCTCTGTTGTCGCCAGACTTTCGCAGGACATTATCAGTGCACCTTCAATCGGATCCTCACAAAGTATCGGAGTCCTGCTTCCACGTCAAAGCACAGGCGAGAATCCTCGGCGCATGTCACGCTTACTTGGATCTCTGTCTCTCATCTTTCTTCTCTTGCGCTTCAACCGCCGCATGCGTTTTTTCTTCCACTGCAAAACAAAATTATCGACATGGATATCAGTAAGCCTCGACTAGCTCGAAAGTCGCCGGACGCTAGAAAACCAAAGGAAATTACACATCAACGACGACGAACGATAGAAACACATCTTTCTGATGGCAGTGGAACTCGTAACCGATATCATAACAAGCTACGTGGAGGAAGCGGGATGGAGGGAGGTCTCTACCTTGGCTCTCATGGTCGCTGGCTGTGTTCTGCAGAGACTGAAAAGAAGGCCCTGCAGGAGAATATGAGGGCTCCAGTTCCTCCAGAGCACGGGGAACAGGGGGTTGGGGGAAATGGCTTGCAAGGAACTGGGGGGCTGGCTTGCGGAGAACTGGCTGGGAGAATCAGCGACACCAGGCGGGGAGGGCGGGAAGGGGAGGGGTGCGGAAAATGGGGGACCGAAAAGTGCAGCTGGGGAGAGGCGGAGGTACAGCTGTTCCCGAGGCTGCCCTGGTGGCGCCGCCGGAGAGCAAGATTGTGGTGTGGTGCACCACCAGCCAGTCCGCTACACCATGTGAGTCAATCAAGGATGTGATGACTTGGCATACATATCATTTCGGGATGACTCGTGGAAAAATCTAACACGTTCGAAAATACTAATGACAGGACGCGCATAACCTTGCTATTGCCCCGTAAGGCTATATGGAAGCATTGTACATCGTATGCCACAGTGATTCCGGATAAGTTGCAGAAGGCACTAAAAGCTTTATTTCAAATGACCTCATGATACTTCATGCATACTTGATTATTCAAGGGTTTCTGGCATTATCACGATTAGTGAACTTTCCCCACCTTAGACACAGTGACAATTGTCACGTGGGCATGGATTTCGCAGAAATTACAAGGCATAGGGGACATAATCTAGCACCTCAACATATTTGCAGAAGTTGACACGCTTTGGGATCCTGCTGGGTGAAGCCGATTTGGGGTTAGGGGGTGGAATCAGGCTTGGCTTGGCAGGCTTCCCTGTGACCATTCGTTGGCTAGCTCCGGTGAAAACAATGCTGCAGCTAGTAGGGGGTTGAGTCAGGGCATGGGTGTGGCATGGCCTTGAAGATTGAAGAGAGGCAAGAAAGCAGCTGTTGTTGCTGCAGCTCAGGCTTGGCGGATGAGGAGCAGCCGGGCTGCTGCTTGTCGGCATCGGGGGGTGAGGAGAGGCAGGGAGGCTGCTGCACAGCGTTGGGGGTTGAGGAGAGGCGGGCAGGCTGCTAGTTGGTGTCGGGGGGTGAGGGGAGGCAGGGGGAAGGCTGCTGCTGCTCTGCTTTGGGGGCTTTGGAGAGGCAGTGTTGCTGCTGCTGCTGCTGCTGCTGCTGCTGCTGCTGTTGCTGACCGTTGTGCTGCTTCTAATCTGTCGCCCGTTAACGGCTCTCCGTCCTCCCACCAACAATGGTGTGCACCTACTCGCTTGTGGCCGATGGATAGACCGTCCCGTTGTGGATAAGACAGCCACATCATCATCTATGCAACCTGCCTGCGATGCTCCCGAGACCGGCTTGCCGGAGGCGGCCAGCCTGGCTTGGGCCGACCTTGTAACGGTCACATCATTAGCCCTCGCAAAAACGCGCGAAGCAGGACCCACGCCGTGCTTGCTGTCAGGAGAGGCACCGCCAACGGCGCTGGCACAAGATGGCCTGCTGGAGCGGGGCCCGGTCAACACCTGCGGACTCGTCGAGCCCAGTACCTCGACGCGCGACAGCGATTCTCCCGACACGGAATGCCGCCGCCGATGATGGAACGGGGACGAGGGCTTCACTGCACGGGGGTTCGAAGGCGGCGGAGGCGATAGAAGCGCGGCCTCGCACTCGGCGACGGAAAGCGCGCGGCGGGGAGACGGTGCCGGATTCCTCGCGCTCAGCGGGCTGGATAGGGGGGCGGGGGACGTTACAGGAGACGTTACACTGGGTGTCACTGCAGAGGTTAGAGGAGGTGTCACAGGAGAGCTGGGTGTGGCGCGTGCGCCTGGCGCGGAGCAGTTTGAGAGCCGCGGCGGACGACTCCGACCCCGACTCGTCGACGCTTCTGGCAGCCGCGCAGGCTCGGATGACTCGTCTGATATGACGACGAGCTGGCTGCTGCGGCAAGGGGCTGCGGGGCGAGGTTCGGAAGCACTCCTTCTGATGGGGTAGTCGAACTCGAATGATGACGGCATGTCGCGAAGGGTGATTGGCCGCGGAACGCTGCTAAGAGACGCCATGGATGAAGGCCGAGCGTGACAAGACAGTGAAGGTCGAGATCTCTGCGCGCGGAGTAGAAAACACGGTAAGTAAAGAAGTTTCCACCCTTGTATAAAGTGCGGACGAGCGGCACGGTCGTCGTCTCTATCAGCTCTGAATGCTCTCCGTCGCCGAAGCGTGGATCACTCTATGGAGCTCTGGTATCTGATGGAGATCCAGATTCGACGGTGGCCATCGGCCCTGACGTAAGTGTACGTGTATGCATGGAGCTCGCCGCAGGTAGAGCTCGCAACGGCGGTTATCGAGGCGGCTACTTTCATGAGAAAAAAAAAGTCGGGAGGAGGGAATTTCGCCGTGAGAATGAGCTCTCGGCACGTGGACCACACAAGGGTGAGGCAAGGGTACGGTAATGGGAGACCCCCGCATCGATCGGTCGAGAGACGAGATGGCAAAGAACCGATCTGCACCGTATTTGGGTTAATGTGTAAGTTAGTTCCTCCCGGGGAGGCGAGGAGTAGAGCGAGGGAGGGGTATGGAGAAGTGAGATGTGCCTGTCGAAGGAACCAAAGCAGGGCAATGGCTGAATCAAGCAGCCACTAGGATGGAGAGGAGCGAAGGGGACTCCCGTTGCGCAAGCTGGCACATCCAAGCTTCGTTGGTGGCAGTTCCAAGGTTAGCTGGTGGCGTGTCCAAGCTTCGCCCATGGCAGTTCCAAGGTTTGCAGGTTGCAATTCCAAAGCCAGCTGGCACGTAAAAGTTCAGGCAGGGGTACGAAGTTCTGCGCTTCGTTTTTGCTGCTCGATACCCTACCCAACCGATTTAGATGCTTATTTGAATCCTCCGTATCGAATAAAGCCTTATCCAACCGAGATCAAGCGTACTCTAGAAACACGCCCTAGCGACAAACCATCACATTGGGAGGATGAGGAAGAATGCCCCAATCGAGGGGTACTTGCTAACATGGAGTGTAGTATGAGTAGTTCCCGAGTAATTCACGCCTCAAGCGTTCTGTTTATTCATGAGGGAAATTCGACTATTCGAAGAATCACGGCTGAAACCCAGCGAGAACCGAGAAATTTCGGGTTCACAAGCATGAAAGTTACAACGACTTCTCTATTTTACCCGCTACCCCAGCCCGAAAATCATGGAATCAGAAAACGGAATTTAGAAAGCGATTGTTTCTCTGCGGACTTGCCCGAAATACTGGAAAACGCATTGGGTGGATGTCGTTTGATGGCAGGGTGGCACTGTGTCGCGTAGGGAACATGTATCCGGTATTTTATATCGCTCTTTTCATATGTATTCATGAGAATCTACATGACCTCACATTAGAAACTCGAAAGTAAGGCAATGCCATGCAATTTGAAGAACAATAAATATTAAGCGCTTATCCTAGAGAAAGATTGTGGTTTAGTGTTCTAGACTCCTAGGCTACAAACAAGGCTGAAGTTCTAATGCAAAAAACAGCCAGTAAGTATTGCATATGGAACATACTCAAGCACCTCAATATATGGGGAAAACTTCACACGTCTTGGGCTTCTTCCAGGCGAACCCCGTCTGGGCTGCAGGGCGCACTGAGGCATAGCTTGCCAGGTTTCTCTGCTGCCACCCTCTTGCTACTCATGCTAGCTTTGCTGGCAATGCTGCCACAACCCACTGGTGACTGAGGAGATGTAGGGAGGCTGTTGTCCGCACGACGACATACGGGAGAGGCAGGGAGGCTGTGGCACGGCCTTGGGAACTGGGGGGAGGCAGGGGGGCTGTTGCTCGGCATATGACGCAGGGTGGAAGACGCGCAGTTGCTGCTGCTGCTGCTGCTGCTGCTGCTGCTGCTGCTGCTGCTGCTGCTGCTGCTGCTGCTGATGCCGAGCCTTGGATTGTGAGGAGAGACAGGGCAGCAGATAGCCGCCTTTGAAGATTGAGGCGAGGCAGAGTTGCTGCCACCGCTCACCCTAGTGCTTTGGAAGGAGGCAGCAAGCGTGGTCGTGCGAGGGCCCAGGACCATGGCTTCCCCAGGACGACTGGGAAGGCTTGCTGTTGCATCTGCAGGCCTCTGAAAGGCACGAGAAGAAGCAGCAACGTACTCGTTATTGGCGACCCTGTTAGGAGTATTAAGGGTCACATTTTCCGCGCTGGGTTGGCGGGGGGTTGACACAAGCTTCGTGGGCGACGATGGTGTTCCCGAGAGGGAATGCCGCCGCCGGTGAAACGCGGAAGCAGGCTTCTTCCCGCGGGGAGGCGATGGTGTTAGTAGGAGTGCAGCCGCGCAATCAGCGGCGGAAAGGGCTCGGCGGGGAGACGGGTTCCCGCTGCGGAGGTGGGCGGGGCGCTGGGTGTGACTCCGCGGCGGGGACTTTCCGCGACTGCGGGACGCGCTGGCGCGGAGCGGCCGAGCGGCGGTTCTACCGCTGGCCGTGGGACCCTTCCGCAACGGGTTGGGTGCAGATCGAGGGGCTGGTGGGTGTGAAGGCACGCCATGAGTGATAAGGCCGACGATATGGGTCAATAGGGACTGAAGCGGAGGGGAGAAGACGGACGATAACGATCCAGCGGAGCTCGTTTTGTGAATATCGAAATGCAGGCACGCTGCATTTTATGGAACAATTCCATCCAGTAAGGTCGTCATACTGCTTGCTGCCGTGGCTTCGACCACTGGTCAGAATGTTGTGGTTCCGCTTTGTTCACCGCCGAACCGGAGAATATCAAGTCCAGCACGATAAGCTGAGCTAAGCCGCTAAATCCTGTAGAAGCTGGCCAAAGGTTCGCGACCAAGTGGGAAAGTTGGCTGAACAACATTGAGTACGAAACGGCAACTGCTGAATAAGCTCTGACGTGGATTGGATCCTACTCGCGTGATCTGTACCTATGTTCACGTGAACGAATCGGGCTAGGGAACTCTCGTGGTGAGTACGAGGTACAAGCACGTGATGCAAATCAAGAACTAGATCTCAAGTTCGTCTGAGCTGGGGCATCCCTCGAGTTCACGACAACGTGAATATCTATCTCCATGGCGGACAAGGGGAGGGGAGGGGAGCGAAGCAAATGAGAGCGAGCAAGGAGGGGAAAGGTGAAGGGGACGATTTTCAGGAATGGGGAAGGGGGTGCGAGGAGGGAGGGGAAATCGTCGAGGGGAGAGAAAGGGGAAGGAGGGGTGTTCTCCCCACTGGGGTGCTGGGTGGGTTGGGGGTGGAGCATGGGGGCTGTACAAACGATGCCCAGCCTTATCGCAGCTCAACCCAGCGCTCAATCAGAGATGTTTTCCAAAATCTCCGATGTACGGGCCATATGAGATCCGTTTGAGTCACTCATAAGTGAGTTTGCGACAGACATATAGCAAGGGACAAGTCATTGCCGACGTGGTTTCGTCGTCACGGAACTGTGCACCGCAGTCGTCTGATCGCCTCACAAGAGTCGCACACTGGCAACAAACATTGCCACACAAGTCCCCCCGCAAATACCCACACTTTTTGCCGTGTGCTCGTGCAAAAGCCTCATAAGCCTGTGGAGAGGGCATGCGAAATACTTGTGCGAGTGAATTTTCGGCACTTCAAACTCTTGTGCGACTCTGACGAGCATAGGCTGTACTTCGATTCCTCCCCAACCACCCCAGCGGAGCCTGGCAGAGAGGGTGTATCAAATGTCATGTCACGTGGCATATCAGCACTCGGTATTCCTGGCGGTGGCGCTCGTCCTGTGTGGGGAAACGGATTCGGTATTACATATATCCAAGGACGCAATAGTAATATAACATAAGCATGAAGTGTACATTGACTCCTTGCCTACATTACTGGTTTTACCCGAGGATTATTTCCTCGGCTTCGAAAAATGCTAATAAATTGCACGTATGTTCACTTTGAAATTTGTGGGAGGGCACATTGGATTGATGTACAGAGACGAGTAGAGGTCAGCAAGGATGGTAGCAGCAGGGGTGGTAGCAGCCCAACAAAAGCGGGAGAAACATCACTGGCGGCAGTGGGAAGAGCTGCAGCTGCAGGGCTATGTGTTAAAATTATATAAGTTATAATTTAATATAGGCTTGGTAGGTTGTTACTGAACCATTCTGTAGGGGGTACAAACCCCTCCTTGTACTCCTCTCTCTTCCTAATCCAATCTCTTCTTTCTCGTCACTTTTGCCTACTCCTAGATCTACTTGCCTCACGCCATTCCATGGCGTCCTTCCTTCCTTCCTAGCTAAGCTAGGTTCCTAAGTTTAGTTAGTGTCCTAAGCTTCTTTGAGATGGTATCAGAGCCGGAGATCCTTCCTGTTGGACCGCCTCCTCACGCTTCCGCCATTTACTCCTCACTCTCATTCGCTCGAGCGGCCATGGCGGCCGCGTTTTGCTGCAGTGGCGACGTCGCGCTGCCACTGGCCGCGTCATGCCGCGACCGGCTCGACGCGCTGCCGCGGAGTCGGGCCGTCGTTCTGCAGCCGCAGCGTCGACGTCGCTCTGTGACGGCGCCGTCGGGCCGCAGCCGGTTGCGCGACGCCTGTGACGCCGCCACCGCCCGCATGCCATCACGCCCACGAACTGTCGCGCCACACCGGGGGCTGCTGTCGCCCCGCCCCCTCCCCTCGCCCCCCCACCTGCACATGCTTCCTTGCATCCCCCCCTTTCTTGCTGCAGCCGATGACTGCCTTATGAGGGACCTCTCTCTTAGAACTGAAGAATATTTGAATAGAGAGAGAGTACAAGGGTATATACCTAAGAGTGTTGTACCCTATACAGTCTATACAAACATGACAAATACACATGTTTGACACACCCCCTAGACTGCATAGGGGAATGACCTGAACAAGCAGCTCAGGGCGGCACTACTAGTCCAACCTCTGAGACAAGGGTCTAAAAGACCAGTCAGACGGAGTTGAGGCAAGCCAAGAACAAGACCAGGGCGGCACTACTAGTCCAGCCACTGGGACAGGACACAAGTCCAGTCTGAGTATGCATATAAAGGACAGTACAAAGTCAAGGCCCTAGCAAGTGAGAGGCTACAGGAACTAGACCAAGCTGTACACAGTGCTGCTGATGATCTTTAGGCGCAAGCGCCTTCGTAAAGATATCAGCTATGTTGGCACCTGAGGCCAAGTGTACTACGCGAGCCTGGCGTCGCTGCTGTAGCTCACGCAGGAGGAACTATCGCAGCTGAATATGCTTTGCTCTGCCCTCGAGTCGAGGCTCCTGACACACGAGGATCATGGCCCTGTTGTCAGCGAACAGGACCGGGGCAGAGCTAGGCCGCTCACCTAAGTCAGTGAGCAAGAAGGTCAGCCAGCGGAGCTCCTGTGCCGCCATGGCACCAGCGTAGATCTCAGCCTCACAGCTGGACTGGGCAACAGAGGAGGAGCGGGTAGCTCTCCACGAGACGGCACCTGAGCCAAGGCTGAAGCAGTAGCCCTGGGTAGACCTGAGTGTCTCGGCATCGTCTGCCCACGAAGCGTCTGTGTGTCCAGTAAGGACCACTGGCCTGCGTCCTCCTAGCACTAACCCCATGCCCGATGTACTAGCAAGATAACGCAAAACCCTCTTAGCGGCAGACCAGTGCTGCGGTCGGTGTCTGTTTGTGGCCACAAAGCGAGCCAGGATGCTGAGAGGGTACGCGAGATCTGGGCGAGTGCAAGTCATCAGGTACATGAGGCAACCCACCAGCTCTGCGTAGGGGCCGCTGGGCTCTACCGACTCCTCAGACACTGGAGCGGAGAGTCTGTGGTCTACAGGCAGAGGGGTGGGCTGTGCAGAAGAGAACTGAAGGCCGAACCTCTAAAGGACCTGGCGCACCAAGTGTGACTGAGTCGGGGTGATGGTGCGCGCTGCTCTGTCCCTGGAGATCTGCAAGCCAAGGTAACGGCGCAGTTCTCCAAGGTCAGTGCAAGTGTGTCTCTTCAGCAGCTCTGCCTTTACGGAGGCTAGTGCGTCCCTGTCTGCTGTGGCAAAGATCAGGTCGTCGACATAAACAAGGATGTAGAACGGAGTCTGGCCAGCACGAACGAAGAGTGAGGGGTCTGCGGAAGCCGGAAAGAACTGCAGGTCAGCAAGCGTAGCACGGAGAGTGTCGTGCCACTCATGGGGAGCCTGGCGCAAGCCGTAGACAGGGCGCCGCAGGAGCCACTGGGTCCCAGGAGGGAAGGTGCCAATAAAGCCCTGAGGGCGACGCAAGCAGACCTGCTCGTGTAGGCTGCCCTGAAGGAAGGCAGTGGAGAAGTCGAGGGAGTGAAGCTCGTAGTCACGCTGAGCAGCTAGGTGTAACAGAACCCGAAGAGTAGTCATCTTCGGGGTCGGAGCGAAGGTCTGGAAGAAGTCCACCCCCTCACGCTGACTGAAGCCTCTAGCCACGTAGCGCGCCTTGAACACAGGCGGCTCTCCAGGAGGGCGCTTCACCTTGAAGAGCCAGCGGCCATTGACTACGTTCACCCCAGGCAGGGGAACTGCGTTGACGAAGGTGCCGGTGGATCTCCAAGATGCCATCTCCTGCTCCATGGCAGCTATCCACTGAGAGGCCCAAGGTCCCGAGGTCGCCTCAGCGTAAGTGCGAGGGGTCGGGATGTCGAAAGCGTCTGGGTCACCCTCAGGGACTAGCAGCATGGAACAGAGATGGGGAGCAGCCTCGGACAGGAAAGCAAGCTCGAACTGGCGGTCCTCCAGGACGTCACTGCCAAGGGCAGAAGCACCCCCGACAGACGGAGGACAGGCAGGGTCAGAGACCAGAGCGGTGGCGTAGTCAAGGCGGCGGGTAGAGGCGAAGTCAGCGACCGCAGCAACAAGAGCGCCAAGGCACGAGACCGGAACAGACGGGTCGGTAACGAGAGAGGCAAGGACCCGAGGAACAAGAGGACGAGCGGCACGGAGGTAGTCGGACAGCGGGGGGGGTGCAACAACAATGGAGGACGGAGGAGGCGACGGGAGAAGGGGAGGACGAGACGCGTGGGAACGAAGCAACATAGGGTGGGAGCGCAAGACAGGAGAGGCAGGACGAGCACGGGAGGGACGGTGAGACCAGACGTGCGACGGAGGAGTCGGGTCAGGAGACAGGGGAGGGGACACAGGAGGGGAATGAGGAGGAAGACGGGCCGGGGACGAGTCCGGCGGAGGGAACACAGGGCTGTAGACGGGAAGAGGAGGAGACGGTCGGAGAGGAATAGCCGCAAGGTCAGGGGACGGAAGGCCGAGCAGGCGAAGGGCTGACACCGGCGGGGACTGCTGCTGCGGCGGCACAACGGCGACACCGGGACTGCAAGCGGCTCCGCAGCTACCACCGGCACACTCCACACCAGCACCCCCAGAGGATCCACCCCCAGAGCTACCGGGACTAGCACCCCCAGAGTCAACGAACGGGTGCTGCGACGGCGGCGGCGGCGGCGGCAGCGACAACGACGGCTGCAGCGGCGGCAGAGGCGGTGGAGGAGGGGACTGGGGAGGGGACGCCGGGGGAGGGGCGGCCGTCGAGGACTGCGCAGCAGGGCCACCAGAGTCAGAAGACTCCTCAACCGGGTCCACCGACGGAAGGGGGGTGACGTGGGACACACCAGAGGGGGCAGGACGGGGAGGAGGAGGGGGAGGGGCAGGGACTACCGGGGAAGGAGTGACCAGGAACAGGGGGGGGGTAACCGGGGGACCGCGGTGGGGGAAGCGACGGTAGTAGGAGACGGACTCGTCAAAGGTGACGTCGCGAGAGTGAAAGAAGCGGTGAGACGGCGTGTGGTAAAAGTGCCAGTCAGACGCGTCAAGGGGAAAGCCGAGGAAGACGCAGGGAAGGGTGCGGGCAGTGAGCTTGTCCGTGCCGGAGGCACGGACGTGAGGAAGGCAGCCCCAGACGTGGAACGCAGACGCGTCACCAGGAGACCCAGTCCAAAGACGGGTCGGCGAAACCTGCGGCTGCTGAGGGTGCGGCCACAGGTTAAGCTGGTGAGAAGCGTAGCGCACAGCGAACGGCCACAGAAAATGGGGTGCACCGGCATAGATCATGGAGGTGCGAGCCACCTCCATGACCAAACCGATGCGTCGCTCAGCGACCCCATTCTGCTGTGGGGAGTCCGGTAGGGTGAACGTCTGGGAGATGCCCTCCGCACGACAAAAGCGACCAAGGACACCTGAGGCAAACTCGCCACCACGGTCGGAGTGAAGACGCAAGACAGGGAGACCGCGGTGGACACGCGCGGAGACAAGCCAGGGGATGAGAGCGCCAGGCACGTCGGCCTTGCGCTCCAGGGGAAAGACTGTGGTGTAACGAGTAAAGTCGTCGACAAGCACAAGGAAGTAGCGCTCGCGATGCGGCCCAGGGACGGGGGCGGGGCCCCAGACGTCCAGGTGCAGGGTCTGCAGCGGCGCGGCGGTAGGGGGAAATGAGGAGGAGTGAGGGGCACGGCGAAGCCGACCCTCGACACAAGGCGTGCAAGGTGGGGCTGGGGAGGAGGGAAACGCAGGGAGAGAACCTGGGAGACCAAGGACAAGACCGTGCTGGGACATGTGACGCAGACGCGGGAGCGCAGGGTGACCTAGGCGGTGGTGCCAAAGGAGAGTCGGGTGAGTGAGGGACCGACAGGAGCAGGCAGCAGCAACCTGGGTAGACGCAGCCACCTGAGGGAGCGCCCCAGCCGGGGGGGTCACGGTGTCCAGAGTGAACAGGCCGGACACCGGGTCCCGGGGGAACGTGGACAGGGGGGCACCCGTGGCGGCCTCGGTACAGACAGCATACCGCTCGTGACCAGGGAACGTAGTGGTGACGCCAAGGTCCTGGAGGCAGCCGACACCAACTAGGTTCCTGGAGAACGAGGGGATATGCAGACCTGTGAGAGTGCCCGAAGGAACCGCCGGACAGGGAAGGGTGGTGGAACTGCGGGCGACTACCGGACCGCCGGAGGGGTCAGCAAGAGAAACGGCAGCAGGAACAGGAAGCGGCGTCAGTGTGGTGAAGTCGTGGAAGAAACACCGGGAAGCGCCAGAGTCCAAGGTGAAGGAAAGCGAAGTAGTGGTGTCCGGCGACGGGGCGACGGAGGAGGCACCAAGGCTAAACAAAGCAGGGGATCCTACGCCTGACGGAGCAGGGGAGGCTAAGCTAGGCACACCTACACTAGCCGACAGTGAGTAATAAGCGGGAAGCACACTAGAGTCATCAGCATACATCACATGCAGAACAGAAACAATGGCATCCATGTCCATGTCAAAAATCTGAATCTTACGACTAAGTAAACTGTGCCAGTCCGGGAGGTCTGGCGACGGGCCGAAGCGCTGACGAAACAGGTCGTCCAGGCGACGAAAACAGCGGAGAGTGGAGTGACCGATCTTACCGCAAACGAAGCCGCGGCGAGGATCGGTCTGGATCTGGTACTGACAACGCACGCCTCCAGAACCACCACTCGGCACACCATCACGCGCCCGACCACCGCCAGCGCCGGGCCACCCGGGCGGGAGGACACTCGTCTGCCTCGTCTGCGGCGGCTGCTGCGGCTGCTGCGAAGGCTGCGGCTGCTGCGACTGCGGCGGCTGCTGCGGCTGCTGCTGCTGCTGCGACTGCAGGGGCGGCGGCTCAGCTGGACTGGGCAGGGTCCCCTCGTCCGCTCCAGCACCAGACGACCCGACTCCACCACCACCCCCTCCCGCACCCCCGCCTCCTCCGCCGCGCCCAACCTTGGGGCGGCGGCCCTTCCCCGAACGAAACTGCGCTGCAGCTGCAGTCTCAGCCACAGCAGCAGAGCCGTCGGAGAAAGTACACTGAGCGGGGGCACAACCCTGAAAGATAGGGACCGGCACGGTACCGCTCGCCTGGGCGATGGAGCGGTGGCGGGTCTCAATCACAGTCAGGGTGTCTACAAAGTCAGTGTGGGTGAGGTCTGCGGGGTGAATTCTAAGGAAGCGGTCGCGGGCGACAGCAAGGCGGTCAGGGAGGCGGGTGGCAAGCAGGTAAAGGGTAGAGGTAATGGGCGGCTGGTGGGCTCTAAGCTGTGCGTCAGTGCAGGCAGCGCGCCAGGTCTCATCTATTGAGCGCAGGTGGGCAGCGAGGTCAGAGACAGTGGGGAAAGACGCAAGGTCAGGAAAGAGCATCGGGAGGATCAGGCGACCCACCGAGGCAGCTGGAGGGGTGGAATAGCGCTTGATGACAGCATCTAAGTAAGCCTGGGCAGTAGTGAGGGACCTAAAGTGGGGGCGCTCGGACGGGGGAAGGGCATTGCTAATGGCATGCTGAGCAACAGCATCTCGAGAAAGCCAGACAGAGCGCGCACGGGCAGTGGCAGCAGTAGACCCGCGCTCAGTGGGTGCGGAGTCAGCGGGCAGAACAGCAGGGGGGTCTGGGCAGGGGAGCGTACCGTCAAGGTGTGCGGAAAGCGGTTCACCATCCTGCCGCTGGCCAGTGAGTTGACGCCGGAGGTCGGCAAGCCACGCCTCGAACTCCAGAGGCTGGCCTTCAGCGTCGAAGCGAAGCTCCGCCACCATCAGGGGCAGTGCAGGACTGTACAGTGCGGTGCAGTGTAGAGCAGGGCAGTGCAGTGCGGTGCAGGGCGGTGCAAGGCGAGGCAGTGCGATGCAGGGCAGTGCTGGGCGGTGCTGTGCGGTGCAGTGCGGTACAGTGCGGTGAAAGGTGGTGGAGAACCGTACCAGGGAGAGTGCAGATCGGACGGTCGTAGGGCCGGCGAGGAAGGGCCGGAAGTTGACGCGGGGCCGGCCGGGACAAGCGCGGGAGCCGGCTCGGACGGGCGCGGGACCGGCAGGGACGGGCGCGGGGCCGGCTGGAACGGGCGCGGGGCCGGCTGGGACAGGCGCGGGGCCGGCTGGGACGGGCGCGAAGCCTGCTGGGACAGGCGCGGGGCCGGCTGGGACGGGTGCAGGGGCGGCCTGGACGGGCACGAGGGGCCGGCTGGGACGGTCGCGGGGCCGGCTGGGACGATCGCGGGGCCGGCTGGGACGGTCGCGGGGTCTGCTGGGACGGTCGCGGGGCCGGCTGAGACGGGCGCGGGGCCGGCTGGAACGGGCGCGGGGCCGGCTAGGACAGGTGCAGGGGCGGCCTGGACGGGCACGAGGGGCCGGCTGGGACGGGCGTGGGGCCGGCTGGGACGATCGCGGGGCCGGCTGGGACGGTCGCGGCGCCGGCTGGGACGGTCGCGGGGCCGGCAGGGACGGTCGCGGGGCCGGCTGGGACGGGCGCGGGGCCGGCTGGGACGGTCGCGGGGCCGGCTGGGACGGTCGCGGGGCCGGCTGGGACGGTCGCGGGGCCGGCTGGGACGGTCGCGGGGCCGGCTGGGGCGGTCGCGGGGCCGGCTGGGACGGTCGCGGGGCCGGCTGGGACGGTCGCGGGGCCGGCTGGGACGGTCGCGGGGCCGGCTGGGACGGTCGCGGGGCCGGCTGGGACGGTCGCGGGGCCGGCTGGGACGATCGCGGGGCCGGCTGGGAGCGACGGACTAGGAAGCGCGACGGGCTAGGAAAGGCGCGACGGGCTAGGTAAGGCGCGACGGGCTAGGAGTCGCGCGACAGGGCCAGGAGGCACCAACGGGGGGCCCAGGAAGGGCGTGACGGGTGCTAGGGGGCGCGACGGGCCCAGGGGAGCGTGACGGGGCCCAGGGGAGCGTGACGGGGCCCAGGGGGCGCGACGGGGCCCAGGGGAGCGTGACGGGGCCCAGGGGGCGCGACGGGGCCCAGGGAAGCGTGACGGGGCCCAGGGGGCGCGACGGGGCCCAGGGGGGCGTGACGGGGTCCAGGGGGGGGGGGCGTGATGGGGCCCAGGGGGGGCGCGACTGGTCCTAGGTGACGCGACGGGGCCCAGGGGGGGCGCGACGGGCCCAGGGGGGCCCGTCTTAGAACTGAAGAATTATTGAATAGAGAGAGAGTACAAGGGTATATACCTAAGAGTGTTGTACCCTCTAAGAGGCGACCCTATACAGTCTATACAAACATGAGTTATACTTATGTTTGACAGATATACTAATGTTTGACAAGATGGACGGTCGAGATCCTCTCGACACTTTTTGTCTTTCGATTTCATGTTGCCACTTGTATTGATTCTTCTGCCCGTCTTTGCGCTGCGAATGGCAGTTGACGCGATTTTCATCGTGTTCGTTTTTTTGCAGCTGAGCGAACCTTGGTAATGAAGGACCGAATACTATTTAAAGGCAAGAAAAACGTGCAGGGTGTTATGTAAAATGCAAACCCAGAAAAGCGGGTACTCTAAAAAATGCGCCATATCATAAGCTATCCCCCGCATAAGCCACCCATGGGCTGACTATTTCGGCGGGTCTTATATACGGGGGATTACAGTAATCTGAAAATTCAGGTTTGGCCAACAGTAGGGTCTGAAATTTCAGACTAATCAGACTAAATAGTCTGATAACGTCAGCCCTGAGGTGCAGTCTTATAGAGAGTACAACCCCTTAGACAAAACCACCTTGTACGGTATCTCTTATTCTACTCAACAATTGTACTCTGAGACCCAGGGGGCTCTTGCTTGAAATTGACATACCATAATCGTTTTCCAACTTCACAGACTGTGGCTATACTATTTCTAGCTCCTCTTCCTCCTCCTCAACCCCCTCCAGATCACGCACCACCAACTTCACCTCATCTCCCCTAGCAGGACCAGCGAGATCCACCAAAGAAAACCTCCTCTCAGAATCAGCCAGGGAGCAGACCCGAACCACGTCTGCTCCAGCAACAGCCTGTCCGTCCATGTGCAGCCACAGCACCAGGACAAACTCGCCCCGCCGCTCGTCATACGGAGCCTCCCCACCCCAATCCGCCCTACTTCCTGCATTCTCCTCCTCGCCTGGACCCTGATATCTGCCTGCGTCGCCTCCCTTCTCGTCTGTCTTTCTCCCCCCCTCCACCAGCTCTGCATCGAATACATCGTCTTGGCGAGATGAACCACCATTACTGCTGCTGCTGCTGCCAGTGCTAGTTGGTGCAGTGAGTTGTAGCAGTCGGCTGCAATCGCCCGCACACCGGACCATTCCCGTCAAATCAGCTCGTGACACCACAGGAACCTCCTCCTCTTTTTCCCCCGTCTCTCTTCCTCTCTCCTGTCCCACTTCTCCTGCCGCTCCTGCTGTTCCCGCTTCGCCTTTCTCTCCTGCTGCTGAAGCAGCATTCCCTTTGTTCATATCCCAAAGGTCTGCCTCATTCCCTGTCTCCTCTGTAATCCCCCACCTCCCATCATCCTCCAATAAAAGCATGCCACGTGGCACATACTCAACAGATGCCTCTAGAACTTCAGCCGTAGGTTCATCCCACTCTCCCTCCCCCTTCTTTCCGCCATTCCCCTTCCCCTTCGCCCCCCCTTTCCCCTTCCCCGCCCCCCGCTTCCCCATGCCTGCTGCCCCTGGCCCGGCGCCGAACCCCGCCGCCGAGCCTCGGAGCTTGGCTCGGACGTGAATCTGCACGAGCACGCAGCCGCGGCCGAACTGCTGCTGTCCGGCAGCCGCCACACGCACAATATCACGCACAGTGGGCTTATCGTTTCCGCCTGCGCCTGCGCCGTCGCATTCGCTCACCCGTTGGAACTGCGAATCCCATACCGCCATCAGCTGCTCGAATGACCATCGGCGCGCAGCGGGACCCTTCGCCGCGCCCTTGGGCTTGCGCCGCTTCGCAGCGCTCGCTGCGCCGCTTTCGCCGCCACTAGCGCTGGTGCCATCGGGAAGACCCTTGTTCTCGCTTTCGGAAGCGGGATCTGAGGTACTAGTAGACTGATTTTCCGTCGATCCCCGCTCTTGCTGCTGCTGTGATCCGCCCTTCTGCCCCGGGCGACGCTTGCCCTTGCGCCCACCGCCGCTACCGGCGCCGCCGCCGCCACCTGCGGCGGCATTGCCGGCGATAATGCGTGGAGTCAGCAGGGATGGTGGATTGTGGGGAGAGCGAATTGGGCGGAGGATGCCGGAGGACGCTGCGAAGGAAAACGATTCTGGCCTGTGTAACAGTGTTCGCTTAGCGGAGCTAGCGAAGCTCGCCGGGCATGAGCTGCAACGGAGCGAGGCTCCGACTCCATGGACGACGTGTGTCGCACTGACAAGGCTAGCGAGAGGCATTGCTGGGAAGAATCGCGAATCGTGCAGAATCCGTGTTTGGCGAGAACTGAAGTAAGAAGAAGGACCTGCTGAACTTCAGTAACTGAATAACTAGGGCGAGTAACCTGTTGCCCGAGTCTCCACGCGTGCGCTGCGATCCCAGAGACGTGCCACGTGCCACGATCTGAGCGGGGTTGGACCAGCGTGGGGCTTCAGCAGGGGTGACGGCATTGCGGTGATGTGGGGGGAGATGTACACGGGGTGAAGGTGCATGCACGACAGATTTTCCGATGTGAGTAACAGAGGTAACACGAGTTTCGTGTCCTCGTAACGAAGTCGATACTGGTTCGCGAAATTCCCATGAATTCCTCACCCATTGGATTCGTTATAAGCCTCTTCAACCCGAGGAGAATGTTTTTGCTTTTCAGACACGAATTTCCCTATTATATTCAAGAAGTGGCCTGGGGTTAGTTTGTTACTCTGCATTGATCGGTTCAGCGCGGTTCTATGCCTTACCTAAAGTTTACAGAGGGTAACGGTGCGGTAGTTCGCTCGTTCTGCCCACACACCCTCCAAAAACTGTTGTTGGATATTCCCAAGGTATTTCCAGGGACAGATCACGGGAAACCCTGATCCACATTTGCAGGCTCGTCAGGGAGTCAGGGTCAAACAAGGTTCTTTACCTCAGATCTGTTTTGCTAACTTCCTGGCGTTCTATCAGTAGACGATCCAGCGCGTTCACCGTGAGGAGATTATTACTTAACCGTTGCGAGCATCTGTGTTCAATCTGGTCCGCCGGAGACGTTGACCCGGCGTATCTTTTAGACAGCTCTCGTTCAATCTCCAGTTGATGATTCGTGTTTGTTGATTGCTGTCTGGGGAGTCACCATGGAGATGCAAACATGTGGGAAGCCGGTAGACACGCTCATGGAGCGTGTTCTGTCGATGAACATCCTTGCTTCGGTAGGTTACCATTCTACATCCCGATGCCTTAAATGCTGTTTTTTTCTTCTTCTTTTTGTAACATATATTTTTTCATAAGTTCCCTACGAGAGTCGCTCACAGATCTGAGTTTTACGTTTGCGAGACGTTTAGTGGCTGGTTGACGTTTAGCCATGCTAACCTATTCCCCCTGTCCTTGTTTCTTCGCGTCTACTCGCGCTACCGTCGCCTATCACCACTATGAGTAGGAAATACACGGCCGGAGATACGGAACTCGAAGAGAGGATCCCGAGTGTATGCAATGCAACACTTAAATCCCCCGACTTCTCGTCCCTCCTCAAATCCTCCGTTTCGACGTACCCCCTTGTTTCCACACATCGTCGCTATCAATTCTCCGTGCGTATAAAGGCACGTGCACATACACCCACGCGTTTCCAGATACACACCCTCGTTTTCTCAAAACCACGTCTCCGTTCTCCAATCCACCTCCCGTCCAGGACTATTTCCGCGGGCTCTTCCGCCTGAAGACGTACCACGAGGTGATCGACGAGATCTACTACCAGGTGTCGCACGTGGAGCCGTGGATGACGGGCAACTGCCGGGGGCCGTCCACTGCTTTCTGCTTGCTCTACAAGTTCTTCACCATGAAGCTCACGGTGAAGCAGGTGCAGGGGCTCATCACGCACGAGGACTCGCCGTACATCCGCGCGGTAAGCCAGCCGCATCACGCATGTGCCTCTCTCGTCAGTTCCGTCCAGTTTCGGCCTTGTAGGCTCTTTTCGTGTTCGCTTCCGCGTTTTTGTGTGTGTGTGTGTGTAAACCTCATACCGCAAGTTCTGCTGCTGTATGTGAGAGCCGTCGAAGCGGTTTCTTGCGGATCTTATGTTTCGAATCAAGTTTTCGGCTGATTACCGTCTCAGCGGCCGAAGCCTTCTGGTGTAATGCTTGTATCGGCAGCGGTTAGGGTTCGTCAGCCTAAAGGTGAATTCCCTAGACGTGTGTCTGTAGTTCCCACATCACTCTAGCTTTCTACGTCACTCCGTGCAGCCTTTTGTAGATTTGAATCCGAGGGTTGCGGGTTAGATTCATCGGCGGTTCTGCTTTTTGGGCACGTTGCCCGTCGGTTTTTATTGTTGTAGCTCCTGGCCGTTTGTCATGTGGCTCGGGCTGTGCCTGGATTGATTGTTCATGAGCTTGTGTATCATGCGATGCCCCCTACCTTCATGCCAAACCAATTCCGTGCCATGCCACGCTATTCCATGCCATTCCAGGGTGCTATGGTGATACCCATTGTCTTGGTGGTGGGGTAATTTCCCGCTGGGGAAAGTAAGGGGCATTGGTTTACCCCAACCAACCACCCATCCTCACCATCGCACGTGCTCCACGAGCGTTACGTTGCGTCTCAAGCGTTTGGTCCGCACACGAGTGTGTGAGTGCATGCTCCCCGTGTGTGTGTGAGAGAGAGTGCTTGTGTGCGCGACGCAGAGACTGGCGCGAAGAGAGTACCCTAAATCGGAAGAGGGGCCACCATGTGCTTGTGACCATATAAGACCATATGTTAAAGGGACTGCCCTCTTCTCCGCATATCTTTTACCCCCGCCCCTCTTTCCGATATCTCTCCCCTCTGCTCTCTCCACCTACCTCACGCGTCTTCCTCCCCTCTCTCCCCCCCTCTCTCCATTCCTTCTCTCCCCCTCTTCCTCTGTCTGTCTTGCACCTCCCGTTCCTCTCCCCTCTCCACTTCTCCCTCCAATTTTCTTGTTTTCACTGCTGGTTACCACTGCCGGCTACCCGCCTGCCTGGTTTCCGCTTCACCCTCCGCACCCCTCTCGGCTGCTCGCCCCTCCCCCCCTTCACCCTCCTCTCCGCAGGTCGGCTTTCTGTATATCCGCTATATGGCGGAGCCCAAAACCCTGTGGGGCTGGTGCGAGCCCTACATCAAGGATCCCGAGGTAAGTGGTGTGTACCCTGCACTGCACTCATTTCCCCCTGCTTTGTTTTTGTTGCTTGTGTGAAGGTGTTATGTAGAGCATGCTCAGGCCGTTTTTTCCAGGAGTTTGACAGTTCTGTGGGGTACTGAGCGATGACAGCAATGCCTTGCTGTCCTATTTCCCACCACCTTGCCCTCTGCTTTCGTTTCCTTTCCTTTGCCTTGTTGTGCCATTCCCTGCGTACAGTGCATGCATGCTATCTACATGGTTCCCCTTGCCATCCACGCTAGTCATGCCATCCATGCCATCCATGCCATCCATGCCATCCATGCCATCCATGCCTTGCCATGCCATCCATGCCATCCATGCCTTGCAATGCCATCCATGCCATCCATGCCTTGCCATGCTGCTCCTTGCTGTGCAGCGTGGGCCCATCATGTCTCCCATCCTCTCCTTCCTATTCGGTCGTTCCGTGTGTGCCCATCAGGAGTTCTCACCCGGTACTAACGGCAAGAACACCACTATGGGCAACTATGTGCGCGACCTGCTGCTGGGACAGGTGAGCACCCAGGTCTTCTTTCCCTGGGCGTAGTAAGCTTGCTGCTGGGACAGGGGGGCCTGCTGCTGGGGAAGGTGAGCACTCCGTGTCTTCTTTCCCTGGGCGAGGTAATCCCCACCTGCTCCCCCCCGGCCTCCGCCTCCCCCCCAGTACTGCTTTCGCTCCCTCTTCTCCCGCATGCCACTTCTCATCGGCCTCTAATCTGGAAGTGAATTAAAATTTAACTGCTTTGTGTCCGTCCCTTCTCCGCCCACTCCCTGCCGGTTTTCCCCTGCCCTTCTTCCCATCCCCCCCCACCCAGTACTACTTCGACTCCCTCTTCCCCCGCATCCCAGTGCTCATCAGCCGTCAGATCGTGTCCAATCTCGAGGCGCTGAAGCTGCCCACGCAGCCGTCAGGCGTGGCAGCATCGGCTGACAGAAGGGGCGCCGATGACAGCGCCGCGCGTCGCCCGCCCTCGGTTAAAGCCGCCCTGTCAGTGGCCTTCGGGCAGAGGGCGCCGCACAGAGCGTCGACCAGAACGGGGGGGTCTAAGGATGACAAGAAGAGTGGCAGCGGTGGTGGTAGTGGTGCACCAAAGCGGACGCCGGAGAGAGGAGATGACAGGGATAAAGACAGAGACAGGGACAGGGAGAGGGACAGGGAGAGGGATAGGGATAGGGATCGGGATAGAGAGCGCGAGAGAGACAGGGATAGGGATAGGGACAGAGATAAGGACAGGGATAGAGATAAGGACAGGGATAGAGACAGGGACAGGGATAGGTATCGTGATCGGGAGAGGGAGAGTGGTCGAGATGGGGACAGGTACCGAGACAGAGACAGGGAAAGAGATAGAGACAGGGGCAGGGATAGGGACCGAGATCGGGACAGGGACAGGGAGAGGGGGAGGGAGAGGTCACGAGAGCGGTCGAGGGAAAGAGGAAGGGACAGCCGGGATCGCTCAGGGTCAAGGGAGAGGATTGGGGAGAAGGAGGAGAAGAAGAACGCGGTTTCAGAACAGCTGAAGAAGCTGAGGGACCTGTATGGTGATGGAGGGAGCAAAAAGGAGACGCAGCAGTCGCAGGGGTACAGGGGGAAGGGGGATGATGAAGTGATTCGACTGGGAGGGTCCACCTGGAAATAGCAGGGTTGCGTGTGGGGATGAGGATGGTGGTGCTGGGGGAGGTGATTTGAGGGTATGCGGGTGGGCATAGTAATTAGGTTGCACATGTGTATGCATGATTTGTGGCTGAAGATGGCATGATGCATGGCTAAGTTTGGCTATGCATCGGTTCTTCATAGCCTTTGGTGCTTAGCCTGCAAGTCGTTACAAGAGCGCTAATGGAGTTGGTGGGACTGGCTTATTTGCTACATTCGTCTGTGATGAGAGATGTGTTGTGGGTACATGGCTGATGCAGCTAATCGATTTGACCATGTGTATTTCACACGTTCGTAGTGTAACAATTGGGAGCCTCCTTCTTGCGCGACAACCCTTGGTATTGTACATGCTTGGCCCCACTTCACCACAGGTCTTCAGCGACCAATCACCACACGAGCCCAAGAAATGTCACCTCGTTGGCTTCGCTTGTTGGTTACCCCAGCTGCGAAAAATCTGAACCAGTGGGGGTTGAGCTGTGGGCCATGGCCAGACTGAGGGCCAGAGGGCGAGCCAGAGGGCCTCTGTTCTGCCATGCGTGCCGTGGGATTACGACAGGCCACGGATCTCACCAGATTGACGGACAAGATGCAGATTTCGAGTGTCTCGGGAGCTGCCGAGCGATTGCGAAAATTGGTTACCGCTTGAACAACTCCAAGTATTCAAGCCTTTCCACGTTTCGTGCACCTTCGCAAACTCACACCTCAAGCCAAGCAACTGACCTCGGAGTTGCCATTTCCTCCCCATCCCCTCAACCGTTTCCATTTCACTCCACTGCCCAGCCAGCTTTCAACAAGAGGGATGTTTGGCTGCTTGTTGCTGGCTTGCTGGCTTCATGGCCCTCTCTGACAGGGCTCTGGCTAACAGGGTAATCACCCTTAATGTCGCCAAATTAAGATTTGTTTCCGACCTGACTCCGTTTTTTTGCAAATTAGACTTTTCCTGATTCCGTCTTCCTAACGGGTACTTTTCGTGCGATTCCTTGACATTACGGGTACTTTCCTTTGATTCCGTACGAAGTGCACTTGTAGTAGGAGATCTGTTAGTAGTGGTGTATCATAGCTTCCCACCCTCTCCTCTTCCTCCACTAAGCAAAGAGAGAGGTTAGTTACCGGGAACTTTTTCTACTCTTCCAACCGCCTGAGGCATGTTATGTGCGAGAAACAGTCCATGGGGTTCGAGGGGATTTCCTTAGCCGTGGCCAAGGCCATTTGTCTTTGAGGATATTAGTATCAAACCAAGAGTAGCTCTTCGACGAATCTGTATGCTAACGGGTAATGTTTCGGCGATGCCGTCCGCTAACGGGTAATTTCGGGGCCGATTCCGTGACCTAACGGAAACCCTAGGCTTAGCGAGAGCCCTGCTCTCCGAGTTCATTTCATCCCGTTGAGTTGACCAGTCGCGAGTGCCACGGCTCGCACATTGATCGGCTTGGCCGCTCCCCGAACAGCCTGTGGCAGCGGGAATCAGATTTGTCACGATGCGTGTGGGATTGAGATTCGTGGATCTGCATTGCGGTGAGCTGTGTGCCGTGGATGCAAGAGGTGGCGGGCAGGATGCGGGATTGGATCACGCGCAGCAGGTCGCGGAGGAAGTGGTCGCATTGCGGAAGAAGCTGCCCAGGTCAAGAATTCATTATACGCGAGCGTCGATTCCGGGCGCGCGCTGATGGCTTGTATACAATGTACTGTATACAGTACAGTAAAGAGGAACGAGAACACGCGGAAAAGAGGAGGCGCACCGCGACGGTGCGACTGATGTCAGCGAGTCGGGGGCCGGGGCCTGATGGGACGGCGGAGTCAGCCGCAGAAAAGGGTCACGCTGCGAAGTGGGCGGCATCGCCACTGGCAAAGCCCAGTCCGCCAACCTGAGGTTTTCCCTTTTCGTCTGCTGTCCGCCGCTGCCGCCAGACAAGGGACATGGCCGGGCCGCTCTGCGGCAGAGTTTGGCGCAGCAGAAACAGCCTGTCGACCTGGCAGCAAGAGAGGGACCGGTTTTCCTCCTTCCTCGGAACCAGGGCGAAAGACAGCGCGGGTCAGAGACAGGTCATCGACAGGCCAGGGCAGGATTGGGCAAGAGAGAGAAGGGAAGGGGAGTAAAGAGAGGCGGAATCTGGAGGTACACGTCAGATGCGCCCACCTTACGGGAACCAACCAATCGGTCACGTTGGGGTGGTTGAGACAGCGCGCATCGGATGCAGAATACGCGGCTCGATAGGAAGGAAGGAAGGAGAGCCATGATCGATAGGGACTGTGCTAGTAGGTCGGAAAGTAGGACGGAACGCAAGAGGGGTTACTGGTGTCTCTCATCACTAAAATCCGTGGACCACTGACTCTGTTTCCTCTCCACACCCCCCCGGTCCCGCCGAAATCAGACACTTGCGCATCGCTCTTTCGCAGCCTGGATGGTCCCAAAGAAACAGAGGAAACAGACCGACAGACAGGGAACGGAGAGTCGGACAGACGGACTCACTCGTCAAGACAGACAGGCCGACTCCCTCCTAGTTTGATTCCGCTGCTCGTTCCCGCGACAGCCCACCCACCCAACCCCCCTTCCCTCTCCCCTCCCCCCCCTCCCCCCAGCCCCCCGCCCCGGTCCCGCGTCGTCCCTCCGACGCGGCGACGACGACTCGGTCGAGCGGGGAGTGAAGGGCGAAGGGCAAAGACGCGCCTCTAGTCTAGGAGGAGCGTCGGGGGCCGAAGGGCTAGAAGCGCCGCGGCGGCGAAGGCTAAAGGCGCGGAGTCTGCGGGGCAAAGCTGCGGGCCCCCTTCGCGGTAGCAAACTCGCGCAGGCGCTGCGTGCGCGCTTAGTACCAGGCGCAGTGGTAGTAGCGCGCGGAGAATGGACGGTGCGGCGGAGGACGGATGATCTTGCGGCGGAAGCCACGAAACGACCATATACTATTTCTACTACTACCCTGCTACTAGCAGCAGTAGCTGACGCGGTGTAATGTTAGGCTCTGATCACTGCTAGGACTCCTAGTAGTATTGCTCACGCCGTCTGTTCGAGGTATCTTCGTTTCCACGAGCCGTCGCTTAAGAATTCGTTAGTCTCCTCAACAAAACGTCACCAGCCGTCAGCAGCCGTCAGCAGCCGTTGATAAGGTCGCCATGGCGGCTTCACCGCAGCGCCGCCGACGGGAGCCGCAACCGCCTCCGCAGTCGAGCCGCGCCGTCGCCGTCGAGCCGCGGCGGCTAGTGCGCCGCGTCCTAACGCTTCCGTCACTAACAGCGCTCGTGCCGCTGCTGCTGCTAGTCGTGCTCCCCGCGTTGCCCGGCCCGTGCATTGGGGGAGCTATCAATAACGGTGAGGAACGGGCGTTCTCGACCGCTGTTGCAGCTTAAGATTTGTTTAACTTCAGAAACGTGTTGGTTTTCCAGGATGTCTGTAGTACGGACACTGTATTTCTCACAAAAATACACTCCACTCCTCACATGTAGGTTACGACTTGTGCTGCAACACCTTACCATCTGTATCCTGCCGTCTCTTCCTCCGTTCCTCTCCCCCCCACCCCACTTCCCCTCCCCCCCTCCTCCCCTCTTCCCCCGCCTCCCCCTCTCCCCCTCCTCCTCCCTTCGTCCCCATGCGTTCCCCCCCTTGCGGTTGCGCGCGGTTCCGCCTCCCTCCCCCCAGGCGGCGTGATCAAAGCCCCGACGCGCGGCCCCTGCTCCGCCTCCCCCGTCGCCATCACTGTCTCGTCCGCAGCCGACTTCAACCTCCGCACCGCTTACCGCAACACCACCACCGTCGTGATATACCTCGCCAGCAACATCACCTTAAACTCATCCTTAATCCTCTCCTCCGCCTTCTCCTGCTCCATAATCCGCCCGCATCCCTCCCTCGCCTACATGCCCTGGCTCTGGTACCCTCGGATCGACAAGCCGGCCGTGCGGCTTGTGTCTATAACGAACGTGCAGATAATCGGCGTGGCGATCGGGTTTCCAGCCCAGTACCGGTATACGCAGATGGTGGAATGCACGGGTTTGCCAGAGTTTCCTTCCAAGTGGACCTGTCCCTCGCTGCACGTCTACCGCGCATATGCCGTCACCTTCTCTAACGTAAGCCCCAGTGCCCCACTCCCACGTTCTCGGAGGAAAGCCCGTGCCTCAACTCGGTACACATGATCGGGTTTTCTGCCCAGTACCCAGATGGGTACTCAGATGGCGGAGTGCACTGGGCTCCCAGAGTTCCCCTGACCTGCCCCGCGCTGCATGTGTACTGCGCCTATGCGGCGTCACCTTCTCCAATGTAAGCCGCACGTTCTCGGATGTAAGCCCGTGCTTCAACCCGCAGTTGCAGATGGTGGAGTGCCAGAGAACTGAGAGCTCGGGCTTAAGCTCGCACTTAAGGCCGAGCTGCATGTCTTACCGGGGACTTGATCGACCTTGCTTGCCCCATTCCCCCCCATTTCCCCCAGTCTCCCCCATTCCCCCCATCCTCCCCCCCCCCATTCTCCCCCATTCCCCCAATTTCCCCCCATTCTCCACCATTCCCCCCATTCCCCCCCATTCCCCCCATTCTCCCCCGTTCTCCCCCATTCCCCCAATACTCCCCTGTCCTCTGCTGCCCTTTCCCCTCGGTCAACAGGGTCGGGTGCACGGCCGCACGGACGTGTACCGGGGTGGCGCAGTGGAGTTCAGCTACATGCGTCTATTCAACGACTACTTAGACGAATACGTCCTCCACAGCTGGGCCACCATTCGGATGGTTCTTTCCGGCGACCCGATTAATCTCATCCGTTCGCTCAACAAGATCACGAACTGTGATATAAGAGGCTCCTGGACAGGGGTTATGCTGTACGGCGGGACGGTGGGCGCGATTGTAGCGAACAACTTTATAACGGATTTCCAGTTCTCGGGGCTGCAGTGTGGGATGGGCGAGAGCAACGTGGCTGACTGCATGCTGAACACGATCCAAAACAATCTGATCACCGCGGAGAGTGATGTGTATCCGATTCCCCATGGCGATGGTGCTGGGATCTACTATGACCTGCACTGGTACAATCCCGGTGAGTTACTATTACTAACTTGTTACCACCACCACAGCCAGTAGCCTAGTAATCCGTGCTTCCCTCCTTCCTTGCACTCTCGTTTGCTCTTTTCTTCTCCTTGTGAGTTCCGTCCTGCCCTCCTGCCTGTGCGGCTCGCTGTCTCGCTGTCTCGCTCTCTCGCTCTCTTTCACTCTCTCTCGTTTTTCCGCTGCTCAACACCCGGTCCCCCATACAGGCAACCTCGATTCATGCAACTACATGATCGGCGGCACGCACTGCTACTACCTCGACTACACCACATCGGGCACGGTCATCGATGGGGCGGTGTGCATTCGCAACCATGATGGCATCAAGATCAACACAGGCCATGCGTATGTCTATTCCCTGATTCTACTCCATGCCATGCCATGCCATGCCATGCCATGCCATGCCATGCCATGCCATAACATGCCATGCCATGCCATAACATGCAACGCCATGACGTGCCATCCCCCGTATCTCTGCACTTCACCCCTCCATAGCAACAGTGTGAGGAATGTGACTGTAGTGAATCCTCCCTTCTTTATGCATAACCCTCACTCCCCCAACTCTACTGCAACAAGATCAGGATTGTGATTGTAATAAGTCCTTCTCCTTGTCTTTCTGCATAATCACCCCCCTCTTAACCCTCCCTCCACTCCCCAGCAACAAGTTCCGGGTTTTGATTGCAACGAATCGGGAGTGGCAGTCCGGGCTGCTTTTGAGTCGACTCAAAAGCCCTCTCTCTCTCCCCCCCTTCCCCTCGCTCCAGTCCCTTGCCTTCCCATTCCCCCCGCAGCAATTAGGTCCAGAGTGCGCTAGTGGGGAGTCGTCCTCCTTTCCTTTCCTGTATAACCATCCCTCCCCCTCCCCCCCTCCCCCCCCCCCCTGTGCCCTCCCCAGCAACAAGGTCCGGAGTGCGCTGGTGATCACCCCGGAGTGGCAGTCCAAGCTGCTTTTGACTCGACTCTAAAGCCCCCTCTCTCTCCCCCCACCCCCCCCTTCCTTCCACCCCCCAATCCTCCCCCCCGTTCCCCCCTGCAGCAACAAGGTCCGGAGTGCGCTAGTGATCACCCCGGAGTGGCAGTCGGGGCTGCTGAGCTGTCAGAACTGGTGTGACAACAACTGCAACTCCTGGGCGGGCCGGGGCATGGGGTTCAAGTGGTACAACACGTTCGTTGCAAAGTTCGAAATGCCAGGCTGGAAGAAGGTGCGTGGATGCTGGAGAGTGCATGAGTGGGTGAGCGGGTGAGTGTGAATGACTTGTGTTTTGACGCCAGTATCAGATCAGAAAGGGAGAGCAGGTGCCACAGCATGAGGTTCTTCGTGCCAAGTTCGAAACGCCGGGCTGGAAGAAGGTGCATGGAGGCCCAAGGGTGGGAAATGAGAGAGAGAGAGAGATGGGGAGAGCAGGTGCTGGTTGGAATGAGTGTAGAAAAAAAGAGCTGAATCGATGATTCTCGCCTCCTTAATCTCGTTCCCAGGCCTTGATGTTACTTTCGCAGGCCTTGGTGCTCAACCTTCTCCCCCCCCCCCCATCCGCATCCCCTCCCCATTCCCCATCCCCTATCCCCCCTCCCCCATCCCCCATCCCCCATCCCCCATCCCCCATCCCCCATCCCCACCAACAGAACTGGCCATGGCTCTCCAACCTGTGCGGCCGCACGGAGTGGGCTCCAGGCATCCAGTGCAACCCCACGCCGCAGATTGAGATTTCCAAGAACTGGACCGGCTACTGCTCGCAACTCCTCGACTACTCCCCCTCGGGAAAGCAGCTTACTGCGACAGCAAGTATGACTGGCAACTGCAGCAGCATCCCCGGATTGAACGACATCCAGATGATTGTGGTAAACGGCACGAGGAACCGGTGGAATCCGTATTATATTAACTGCGATAATCTGCCGTCTGTGCAGCCGACCAACAATCTCACGTCGACGACTCTCAACTACCCGCCCGGGTTTTTCGATTTCGACGACGTGGCCGGGGAAGATTTCGGGGTCTCGGACCTCAGCAGCCGGATGTATCAGCTGTACCCAAATTTTTTGTCCTGCCCGAGAAGCCAGGTGGGGATTCGGAAACAGGGTCGTGCAATGATGGCTGCCGCGAGCTCCCTCCAGTCCTCTTTCAGTCGGGATGCTGCGGATTGGTGGCACGACACTTACAGCGTGCTGCCTTTTAGCAAAGAGGTGTCGGATGTTCCCATGACAGGGAAGCTCAAGGCGCGACTGAGGAAGCGGCCGATACAGCCGAAGAGGAAGGCCGTGGGAGGGAGAAGGGCCGTGAGGGGGAGGAGGGCGTTGGAGTATGAGCTCTCAGCAGAGCCGCCTTATGAGGAGCCTTTGGGGGGGACGTATTTTGATCAGGTGTGGGTGGTGTAAGACAAAAACAGGTACTGTAGCTGGAGGCTCGGAGCTCCATGTGGGTGGGGTGAGGAGCTCTGCAAACATTCCCTATGCAGCAGTGGTTATTTGTTTTCTGTGCTATTTGGATTTCACAGATGGCGTGCGCACTCTGTGCTATTCTTCCTCGGTGATGACTTGGATGTCTCTATCAAAGTTAACGAATGACTAGAACCATGGCATACTAGGGAATATAACCTAGTGGGTTGTACTCTCTAAGGCACAAACCTGTGTAGTCTAAAACAACATACAAAGGTATGTTCGACACACCCCCTAGACTAGATAGGGGCAGTGCCTGGTGAGAGACAAGCAACTCAGGGTGGCACTACTAGTAATCCAACCTCTGAGACAAGGGTCTGAAGACCAGGCAAACGAGTACAAACAAGGCAAGAGCAAAACCAGGGCGGCACTACTAGTCCAGCCACTGGGAAGAGGCCACAAAACCATTCAGGGTAATATATATAAAGGTATATACACAATCAAGGTCCTAGCAAATGAGAGGCTATAGGAACGAGACTAAGCTGTACACAGTGCCGCTGATGATCTTTAAGCACAAGCGCCTTCGTAAAGTTATCAGCTGTGTTGGCACCGGAGGCCGAGTGTACTACGCGGGCCTGGCGACACTGCTGTAGCTCGCGCAGGAGGAGGTACCGCAGCTGGATGTGCTTCGCTCTGCAGGACCGGGGCAGAACTAGGCCGCTCACCTAAGTCTGTGAGCAAGAAAGTTAGCCAACAGAGCTCCTGTGCTGCCATGGCACCAACGTAAATCTCAGCCTCATAGCTAGACTGGGCAACAGGCGACGAGCGGGTGGACCGCCACGAGACAGCACCCGAACCAAGGCTAAAGCAGTAGCTGTGGGAGGACAGGAGAGTCTCGGCGTCGTCGGCCCAAGAATCGTCTGTATGCCCGGTAAGGACCACTAGTCTGCGTCCCAGATGCCATCTCCTGCTCCATGGCAGCTATCCACTGAGAGGCTTAGGGTCCCGGGGTGGCTTCAGCGTAGGTGCGAGGGGTCGGGATGTCAAGGGCGTCTGGGTCACCCTCAACGACTAGTAGCATGGAACAGAGATGGGGAGCGGCATCAAACAGGAAAGCGAGCTCGTACTGCTTGTCCTCTAGGACGTCACTGCCAAGAGCAGCCACACCCCCGATGGGTGGAGGGCAGGTAGTGTCAGAGACCAGAGCGGTGGCGTAGTCGGGTAGCGGCGAAGTCAGTGATAGCAGCGACAAGAGCCGACAGACTCGAGACAGGAATGGACGTGTCGGTAACAAGAGAGGCAAGGAAACGAGGAACAAGGTGACGCGCAGCACGGAGGATGTCAGAGAACGGAGGCAGGGCCACAGCAAGTGACGACGGGGGAGGAGACGGAGGAGAGGAGGAGCATGGGACACGAGAGAGCGAAGCAACATAGGGTGAGAGCACGGAATAGGGGAGGTAGGACGAGCACGAGACGGACGACGAGACCAGACGTGAGACGGAGGAGTCAGATGAGGAGAGAGGGCGAGAGACACAGGAGGAGAACGGGGAGGGAAACGAGCTGGAGAGGAGTCCGGAGGAGGAAACACTGGGCCGTAGACCGGCGGAGGAGGAGGCGGCGGCGACGGAGGAGGCACAGGCAGGCAGTCAAGGGAAGGAAGACCGAGGAGGCGAAGAACGGACAGTGGCGGCGACTGCTGCGGCTGCTGCCAGACTCTAACACCAGAACCTCCAGCGACAGCACGGCTCCCTCTGAGAAGCTCCACGTCAGCACCCCGAGAATGGGAACCCGCTCCTGTACCCGCACTAGCACGCTCCCCAGTACCTCAAGAATGCACGAACCCCAGCTGCGATCGCGGCGGCGACGGCAGCGCCGGAGGCGGCTGCGGCGGTGACAGCAATGGCAGCGACAGGGGAGGAGAGACCGGGGCGAGGAGGGGCGGGGGGAGGGACTCCGCAGAGCCGCGAGAGTCTGCAGACTCCTCGCCAGGGACACCCGACGGGAGAGGGGTAACGTGAGACACACCAGACAGGGCAGGGAGGGGAAGGGGGGAGCCGGGGCGACCTGGGGAGGGGGAATCAGGAACAGGGGAGGGGTAGCCGGGGGACCACGGTGGGGAAAGCGGTGGTAAAATGAGACGGACTCGTCCAAGGTGACGTCGCGGGAGTGAAAGAGGCGGTGAGACGGCGGGTGGTAGAAGTGCCAGTCAAACCAGTTGAGGGGGAAACCTAGGAAAACACAGGGGACGGTGTGGGCAGTGAGCTTGTCCGTGCCAGAGGCACGAACGTGAGCAAGGCAGCCCCAGACGTGGAACGCAGACTCGTCACCAGGGGACCCGGTCCAGAGGAGGGTCGGCGAAACCTGAGGCCACTGAGGGTGCGGCCACAGGTTAAGCTGGTGAGCGGCGTAGCGAACGGCGAACGGCCACAGAAAATAGGGTGCACCGGCATGGATCATGGAGGTACGAGCCACCTCCATGACCAAAACGATGCGTCGCTCAGCGATCCCATTCGATTGCGGGCAGTCCGGCAGGGTGAATGTCACAGGATCGAATGTGTCGAGGAAAGGTTTGCTCAATGTTCCACTATCAATCAGTACAAGGTGCTTTTATGCTTCCAGAGTACATCAGGTAACTAGGTTTATCCTATCCAAAGGAAATAGACCCTTCTAGAAATAGAATCACCCTGCGTATAGCCACGCGAGGCTATTGGCTTTAAGGGATTACGGCAGGATTACGCTAGATATAGCGCGCCAGTACATCCCGAGCCTGGTCGGTGATATAATTATAATAACAGGATAAACCAAAGGATAATGGAAAATGAGGAATAGGAAACCAAATGAGATGAGATAAAGACCAAATGAATGAGGATAAAAAGAGGAATGAAATAGAAAGGAAATATGGAAAGGGAAAATTGGTGTAACGGGGTCGTACTCACACTTCCCCCCCTCAAAGCTGGGTGGTAGAAGTAACACCCTGCTTGACAAGGTAGTCACGAAGAGGACGACGGGCGTTACCCATGTCGAGTTCAGAGACGCAGCGTCAGAAGGATCAAAATCCTTCCAGCAAAGAAGAAGCTCCAGTGTGCCATTCTGACAACGACGGTGTTCGCGCACGTAATTGTCCCATGGCGTGGATGAACACGGGCGGCGGCGGTGGTTGGCATTCGTTGTAAAGCGTGTTTGGTCTTGATAGGGTTTAAGAAGCTTGTATGGAAGGTGTAATGGATCTTCCAAGTGGCTGGTAGGCGGAAGCGGAAGGTGAATGAAGTGACCTTTGCTTCAAAAAGGATAGTCCCGCAGAAGCAAGGTTGAAGCTTGGATGGAAGTTGGCTGATGTCGAGATTATGGTCTCGAGAAGGGTAGTGATGAGTTGCCAAGTGCTTGTGCTGATGTTGGATGTCCAAGAGGGCGCTTGTGTGGTCGATGTACAAGATGGTGGACGATGGCGATGAAATCGGAAGCCAGTTGGACTGTGGCTGGTATGGTTAGCTGTTGTGGTCTGATCGGGTGGCGTCCGTAACAAACGAAGTACAGCGTCTGTCCAGTAGCGGCGTCAGGAGCATACTTATAGGCAAACTCCAGGACGGGCAGATGCAAGTCGGAGTTGGAGATGTGAATGGTTGGAACAGTGTGCTGTAACGTGCAGATGAGTGGCTATGTTGTCCGATCCGTGCATACTGTTACCCGCATCTGGTCCACATGTGAAGATCACCAAGTGTTGGTGGTATGGCAGTCGTGTCGTAGTACTGCTTCTGTAGCAATATTGTATCCGTTACATGCAGCTTCTGTCGAATGATGGTCCATGCCGTAGCGTTGTCGCGAGTCGTACCCACTCGGCATCGTAGTGCTGCGGAATGGAGAGCAGAATCACTTGTAGTAACCCTGTCCACCACGCGGTCTGCTAGTCACACTGCCTTGAGTACAACAGCGCATGCGAAGTGCTGCTCAGCGTATCCCTTGTGTTCAGAACCATGCGAGGGGTTGGTACCATAAACGCGGAGCTGGTAACTTCCAGAATCGGCGCCAAGTAGTTTCCCTCGGTGGTTGCTCAGGCAAGGAATCTCATTAGCGTAGATATCCCACGGTGATGGGTTAGGACATTTGGGAATGTTGGGGCTATTCCCAAATAATCCTCTCCCATTTCCAAATGGGCATTGGTGACAGCCAATCCAGTATGACCTTATGCACTTCCAGTTTAGCACGGAGGCCATCGGTAGGCATCGGTGTCTGGTGCACATATTGGGATAGGTCTTCTGGTGCCATCATGTGTTGTCTCATTTTGTTACTGTCCTTGAAGTAGCGATGATGTCGAAGATGTCTCAGCTACTCAGCATAAATGTTGAACTCTGCTCCATTTCGGCAAACAGGGGTGTTGTTGGAGATACGCGGAGTCCACTATCTGGAGTGGCGTCGGCGCTCCATTCCACGCCTATCTGCTTCCGTGGAGTTGGTGCTGGTGATGGATTGGTTGCGACACAGATTTTATGACTTTAAGGAAAGCCATAGGCCATGAGGACTTGTATACCGGTAAAGTATCGTGGTCCTCCCATCCTCATAAGAGCAAATATCTCTTGCTCTTGAGGGTGTATGGCATTGCCATGTTGTTTCCTTGCACAGTGGTATCTCCTTCCCACTAGTTGGAAATCAATGTTGTGCCTGGCCGGGTCTTAACGATCCACTGGAATATAATCCAGCATTATCTCCATTGAGCGGAGAATCATCCATCAGGGTTTGGATATGACTGTTGTGTCGAGTCTTCTGCTGCGGCGGGGGCGGTTGCGACGATGGCGACGGCGGCAGCTGCTGCAGAGAATTCTCTCAACTCGTACCAGTTGAAGGAGAATCCATCAACTCCCTCTTCCCAGTAGAGTGTTCCTGATGGGTATAACAGGCGTAACTACCAGGAATACGTGCACATTAGTACACATGTGTTGCTTCATTGCTGCCGGTGATTGTTTCATTTGAGGGTATGAAGAGAAAATTGCTTCTCCCCTCAATGTATCCACGGGTAGCAATTCCTGGTATGCTCATCCGTGCCTCCGATGTACGGTCAGTAGAGCGCGTGATCGTGTTGTAGTAGTCCGCATCTCCCTCATTTGTTGACACCTCGTGTTGCTTGACGTTCTCCTGCATCGTCGAAGTTACGTTGGTGCTTGTAACGCTTCGGCTTATGGTAGAATCGCCT